CTGTAGTTTTCTGAGTACAGGTCTTTTACCTCCTTGGTTAAGTTTATTCCTAGGTATCTTAATTTTTTTGGTGCAATGGTAAATGGGATTGTTTTTTTAGTCTCTCTTTCTATAAGTTCATTATTGGTGTACCAACTTTTAACTTTTGAATAAAATTTCACAGAGGTAAGTACAAAGTATTTTATTTTTTATAAATTACTGATTTTCTCATAATATTAAAATATACATTTGAAAATTATTTTCTGCCACATAATAAAGTGCTCACTAATGTCAATCAGAGTGACCACTTACCAGGTAAGCAATTAGAATAACTGTAAGATATTTTTAATGATTAAACTTTAAAAATATATATATTTTGTATAATCTTCATAGGCTTTCAAATCAGTTTAATTAAATGCTGATTTTATAATGTCAATAATCTGTATAATCACTACTATTTATAAATCCTTATACATATGGACTAGGGCTTCAGAAATTTCATACAACCAAACCAAAATATAGAAATAACCCTATATAATAAAAGGATAATATGCAAATTGACCCTAATGGCAGAATGACCAGAACAACTGCTTGACCAGTCACTATGAGGCACACTGACCACCTTTTGGTCCCTGTCCCTGGCCTGCAGTCTCTGATCGCCCAATGGCAAACATTGAACCAGGGGTGGGTGGAGGGGGATGCGGTTGGTGCCAGGCCAAGTCCCCTGCTCCACCATTCACCCCACACACAGAGGGAGACCCTTGGCAGGGGCAGGGCTGGTGAGCAGGCGGGAATGGATGACCTCTCAGTCCCTTCCCTGGCTGTCAGGCTCTGATTACCTGATGGTGAACGGGGAGCCATGGGTGGGTGTCGGCAGGGTCGGGGCCAGCTGCGGACAGCCGAGGAAGATGGCCCTGATTGCAGGCCAGGCCTAGAGACTGTACCCGTGCACAAATTTCATGCACCAGGCCTCTAGTTAGATATAAATACTTAAAAATCTTCACTCTAAGTAGGCCTCTCACCTTGAGAAGCCTAAACCAGTGCTGTGATCCACGGACCACACTTGAATAGTATAGGTCTAAAAAAAACCCAACTACTTAGTAAGATAGTTGAAAGTACCTAATAAGGTTTAAAGTTCAGTTTTTTTCTGATAGACTTGGCAAGTTTATATCAAATTATTACAATATATAAATTTTTCTAGAGGAAACAGTGACAAGTCAGTGGAATATCCATAAAACAAAACCCTGAATTATAGCTTACTATATGGTAAAAATATGCTGCATAATGTTATAAGTAATAGTCCAGAGAAAGGAGGGGAGAGAACTCCTAAAAGATCATTTCTGAACAAAGAAACTCAAATGGTGGAAGATCTCAATGTATACATTCCTGTTGTGATGGTTAACTTTATATGTCAAATTGACTGGGCCATGGTGTGTAGATCATTGGTCAACCATTATTCTGGATGTTTCTGTGAGGGTATTTTTGGATGAGACTAACATTTAAATCAGTGGACTTTAAGTAAAGCAGTTTGCTCTCTATAATGTAGGTGGGCCTCATCCAATCAGTTGAGGTCCTAATAGAACCAAAGACTGAGCTCCCCCTAACAAGAAGGAATTCTCCAACAAATGACCTTTTTACTTGAATCATAACATCAGCTCTTCTTGGATCCCCAGCCTGCCAGTGCACTCTGCAGATTTTGGATTTACCAGAGTCCATAATTTTAGCTTACTATCTGTATATATAAAAGGGTAATATGCTAAGTGTCCCTCCACCCATCTGACTGGTCACTATGATCCGCACTGACTACCAGGGGGCAGACGTTCAACGCAGGAGCTGCCGTGACGCACACTGGCCATTTACAGAGAAACAGCAGCTTGGACCTGGCACTTTTAAAACAACACTCAGCTTCCCACAAGTGGGACACAGGCCCTGCCACCACCCCAGAGCGACAGCCCACCAAATCACAGCCAACACTGCCCAGACCCCATGGCCAGCTCAGAAATGGTGGCTGTGGGCGCTGGGTAATGATGTCATGTAGCAACACCCAGTTTCCTCTCCCTAGCAACCAGCCTCCTTGTAGTTTCTTCAGCCCAGGAACATGACTTACTTTATAGCCAGGTGCAAACATTTCACACTTTAACCAAATGTCTGTGAAGCATTTTCTCATGCCTCATCTCATTTGATCCTCACAGAAGTCCTGTAGGAGGTAGATAGGAGACTTGGTGGAATCCTATTTTCTTTTCATTAGCCAGAAAACAGAGATTTAGAAAGTTTAGAAATTTGACCCGACTGAAAAGAAATAAGAAATGGTGGACCTTGAAAATGACTTCAGGTTTTTTCACTGCACAGAATATAGTCAAACACTGCTGCAGTTAAATATTTTACCCTTTGTTCTCCCTGCGTGATTTGTAATATACAGCTCAATTAATCATGATTTAAAGGACATTAAAATGGCCTTCATGTACCTATCCAGAAATCATATGACAAAAATAAGGCTTATACTCAGGGAAAACAGGCATTCATCAGAGAAAAGGAGCAGTTCTTAAGACTAAAATGAAATACGCCCCATACTCCATGTTGAATTTTATGATTATTTCCTTAGGGCATTGATAGTGAGTGGCTTTTATTAAAAAACATGATCCAATCAGTGGTGGATCATAGGCATGATACTTTCTCATCTCTTTATACATCATTGATTCTCTTTATGGACATTCTAATCTATCATAGTGTTGTTTAATGGTAAAAAATGATAAATACTGTCAGTAAAAAGTGTTACAGATTGAGGAAGAAAGGCCATTCTGGGGTCACTCAGTAACCAGATCATAGTTTTAAAAACTGGAGGCTTGGTCCTTAAATGATTATGTCTTCAAGTAACTTTAAAGATTATCTGGTCAATATCTCATCTGTTAGTTGAGTCTCCTCTATGACAGCTCTTCCAAGGCTTCGCTTGTCATGCTTAATGATGCCCAACGTATGAAAATCTGGTAAAATACTAAAATTCAATTCCTTTTCTCCATTGACCCTATTTTTACTCTTTTGAGATACATAAAATAAACATAATCCTTATCTCCAGACACTCAAATGTTTGAAGACAGTATGAAAGATGAAGTGATCAAGCAAAAACAAACAAAAAACACTCATAGACACAGACAACAGTGTGGTGATTACCAGAGGGACAGCGGGGTGGAGGAGGTAGAAGAGGGTAAAAGTGGGATAAATGGTGATGAAAGGAGACTTGACTTTGGGTGGTGAATACACAATACAATATAAGGATGATGTACTAAAGAAAGGTACACCTGAAATGTACATAATTTTATTAACCAATGTCACCCTAGTAAATTCAATAAAAATAAAAGCATTTGTAAGCAACAAAAAGTCAGAAGAGATAAGGCAGCCAAGTATTTCCAGCTTTCCATTCTTCAAAATATTCTTCTCAATGTGGTTTATGGATTGTGGATTTCTGGTACACATGTAAGCTTTACAAGAAAGCAGCCCTATGAATGTTAAATCTTAGGGATTTGGTCAAAATGTCTTTGTAGTAATTAATGGGATAATTATATAAAACATACAGCATTATGAACACATTCTAGTTAATTTTACTTGACAGAAAATAGTGACAGATACAGGACAAAGTGTGGGACACTACTGAGAAATACAAGGTACTTCAATTGAAACTCAAGGGCATTTTTGTCAGCATTTAATTCTTCAAATATATTTTCTCTTGGTTAAAATGGGTTGTTATATAACAGAACAGTATATGTACTTTTTACATGGAAGATGACACCTGTAATAGGATTTTGATATATATAAACACTACAAATGTTCTAAAGATTGACTCACAGTGAAACCATTCCTCCCACTGAATGAGCACTGTCTCTTTATGAAATAGCTAAGGGGATCTGTATGTTTCCCTTATTAGTGGATTTCAACCCATAAATTCAAGCTAACCATACATCAAGGGAAGTTTAACTAGACTGTATCTTACATTATTTTGTTTGAGCGGGACTGAACCTTATTTCATTTCCTTTCTTATTTAATAGTTCAAGTATGTTCATATTCTATGATACAAACATAACCAGACAAATCATAGCTTCAACAGTCAAACATCCATATAACATTTATAAAAAACACACATTGTGGCTGAGTGATTTGTACATTTACAAAGAAAGAGAGGAGGTAAATAACCTGATTACAGACTACAGATTTATGGCAACAGCCTGAAAGCCCCTGGGAACAACTGAACAAGCAGTGGAACATCTTCCCTCCTGTCACTACTAGACAGACACTCAACATAGTGCATACCCATGTGCAAAATTTATGGAAAAAGCTGCACTCAGTCACTATGCAATAGACTAACAAAAGCAACATTATCTAAAGTAAAGAAAATAGGATCCTAAAAAGGTTAGTGAATAATAATAAAAAAAAAGTAGAGGCATTCCTTTCCTCTCCAAAACCAATGTCTCTTCATTTAACTACTACTTTGCCAGCTATATTAGAGAACTTTCACAAAAAAAATAACAGATGTATATATTTGAGGGGATGGAGAGAAAAAGTTTAATATGATAATTTTAGATGTCTAAGCCATATCAATTCTAAAAGCAACAACTACAGTGAGCAAAAAAGAGGTAAGAAACTGGCATTTCTATTTTCATTCAATGGAACATTTTAATTCCATATGTACTATTTTTGTCTTATTTTTCTTCTAGGCTTGACTTTGCCTATTTTATGGGTGAAAAATTCATGTAAATCACATGAAAGAATGTAATATAGATAAAGCATAATCTATATGAGGAGGGTTATGGAATGTGTGGTTGTGCTTAGACAGAATATTGGAATTGGATAACAACAATAAAAATTCTCCCCCACACTATCCCTCACCAGTTAATAATCCCATTTAATATTATTTCTACAATCATATTTCTTTTAAAAAATCAAATAAATTTCAGATCTCCTCATCTATTCCTATTGCAATGATGTATTCAAGTGAAAAAAGTGATACGGTTGCCAAAAGAAGCAGAAGTTTCACCTCTCAATTACCTATTCCCAATAGCTGACCTTCATTGGACCTCAATAACAGATAAGATTAGGAGGAGAAACCGTATTCCAGAAAGACTTATAGTGTAAACACATATAACTATGCTAGACACTCAGCTTTTTACATAGACATGTCCTATCTTCCTTAGAAGCATAATTGTAAGTCACTTCATATCTTAATCATAATTTACATTATATGTTTAAGATTCTTGTTTTGTAGAGTAATTAAATCTAAGCTGAAGTTTAGGGGTGTTATGCTCATGGAGATGAGTGTGAAGGGAAGTTTTGAAAGAAGAAACAAGAAGATTTAAGCCATAGAGACTGGAGATGAAAATGACACTTTAGAAAGAAAATAAAAGTGAAAAAGAAGGGAAATTAATATTTACTGAGTGCCTACAATGTTCCAAAAATTACAATAAGTGCTTCCATGTGTCATATAATTTAATACAAAAACTTTTCAAGTATCATTATACACCATTATAATGAAGAAAATTGTACTCCAGTGAGTTTCATAATATCTGCATTTTGCAGATAAAATTCCTGACTATTTAAGGGATAGTCTTGTGTGACAGGCATTTACAACACACACGTGAGTGTAAGGAGAAGCTAAAAGGATAACTATAATTATAGAAGCCTTTGGTTGTCATATTAATTTTCTATGTATGTGTAATAAATTATAACTTCAGTGTTTAAAACAATATGTATTTATTACCTCAAAATGTATGAGGGTCAGGAGTCTGGGCAGTTTACCTGAGTTGTCTGTTTAGGGTCTCACAGCTACAGTCAGGGAGTCAGCTGCATTCTGGCCTGGAGCTCAGCTGGGGAAGAGCCCTCTTTCCTGCTCACAGAGTTGTTGGCACTATTTGGTTTCTTGCAACTGTAGGACTGAGCATCAGTTGTTGTTGTTGTTGTTTGTTTGTTGAAAGGAGTTTGTGTGTGTGTTTGTGTGTGTGTGTTTGTGTGTGTGTGTGTGTGTGTGTGTGTGTGTGCGTTTTAGCATCAGTTGTTTTTGCCGGCTGTTGGCTAGAAGGCACCCTCAGCTCCTAGCGTTGTCCCCATTCCTAAAGACCTACCACTGTTTCTTGCCCTTTGGGCTTTCCTATTATGACCACTTATTTCATTCATCAAGGCACCAAGAGTCTGAAGAGTGATTACACCAGCAAAATATAACATAATCATGGAAATCACATGCCATCATCTTTGCCACATACTACTGATTAGGAGTAAGTTACAGACTCTCCCCATGTTTTAGAAGAGGGGGTAATACAAGGCATAAACTCAGAGGAGGGAATAAATGGGGACACTGCAGAGTCTGTCTGCCATGATTGCTACATTAATAAAATTAAAATTCTGTCTAAAACAAGAAGGAATATATTAAAGATTTTTTAGTAGGGGAGGAAAATTATCAGTTTTGCTAAAAGGAGGAAAAAATTCAGCTTTGCTTCCAAATAGAAAAAGGAGGTGTAAACAAATAGAATTTGAAGGTATTGCCTTGATTGCCTTTATAATGTTAGGCAATAGTTCATGGAGTGCTCCAAAAATCACTCTCTTCTGGTCATTTGCAAGTTGCGGGGCCCATAAGTTGCCTATGAGATACCCACTCCATGTAAAGAATTAACACCATTCCCTCCCTGCATGTCCCAGTGACCATGAATAATAAGAGTAAGAAAAGTGGGTGGAGGGGGGAAAAGGGGAGAAATGGAGATATCTGTAATAGTGTCAACAATAAAAATAAAGACACTAGCATGCTCATTGGAGAGGCTCCTGGTTGCTAAGATGCATGAGGCCTTGGGAATTCATAAACGATTACATTTTGCACAGTGGCACAGTTTGCAAATTGGTCTGTGGGGTCAAACAGGATCCAGGAAAAACAGCAAATTGCAGCAAAGGTGACGTACAAAATTTAACCAGGAGACAACTCAAATAAACTATGCCTAGGTTCCCAACCAAGAGAATAAAGTGTTCAAGTGTACCAGAGGAAGACAGAGTGAAATCTGCTAAGGAACCGATTAACCTAAACGTAAACCAAGCATGTGGCAACTATACTGATAATTGCACTCCAGTGAGTCACTTATAATGCCATTACAGTGCACATCAGTCACCCTGCTGCCCTACTTGCCCAAAATATACTGCAGATTGCCGGTATAACAGCTGTTCGCTGCTTTGTAGAGATTAAAAATGTTGTGGAAACCAAGACAAACAAAGTATATAATTTCCTGTATCCTGCTAGCTTGACTGCTAGGAGCAGCTCAGTATTTTCACTAATGAATAAATAAATATACATCCCATGGAGAGCCTCCTAATTTTTACAGTTGTTCAAAATAAATTTTTTTTTCAAAATGGTTCCCCAAACTAATTAGATTATTTTGACTTCTGTTATCCAGTGTTACCTTTCAGTGACAGGAAGTGTTGTGAGACTAATGGAAAATGACTTTAATGGGCGTGAGACATTGGGTACCTGAAATATTCTCTGTCATGGGAGATTCCTTGGTGAAGTGGTCAGATATGAACATAAGACAAGGATCTAGAATCCTCAGAAATATGATCTAAGGACCTAGACTTTTCTGCAAGAGTTGTGAAATAACTATAAAATGTAAACTCTGAGACAAGAATTGAGTTTTGAAAATAAAAGTCCATTTCTCAACAAGTGTTTCTTGTGGCCCTACATTTTTTACACTGTATTATACCTGGGATTTTCAAAGAAATTAAACATGGTCATTGCTTTCAAGAACTCATAAGTTAGTGGCAATGATAAATATGTAAATAATAATGAAAATAAATTGCAATAGTATTTCAATGATATACCAAAGTAAATTGTTTCTGTAGTTAGTTGATAAGATTTCAGAAAGCGGTGATATTTGAGCTGCATTTGAAGAAAAAGTATGGGTCTAGAAGACAGGAAAGGGAAGAAGAAGGTACACATATATGTTCATTGCCTCAGTGCAATGGAAGGCCCAAGGCATACAATTAGTTCACCTCTCAGAGTACCAATGAATTCAGACTTAAATGTTTATGGAGCACGCCTACCATGTGTACTTACTAGTAGGGGAGGGAAGTGAATTTTCTCCTTCTTTTAGCACACATTTTCCTCCCCTACTTAAATGCAACCGTGATTAGCTTTGATTTAGTTCAAAGTTAAATCCTCAATGCCTTGGGGGAGAAAATCCCTGCCCTCCTGACACTCAGTGATGTAGAGGTTGGCACACAAGTAACACTAAGCAAATGTGAAACTTAAAGTTAATTCACTGTGTAGAAAACTGTTCTCTATAACCACCTCTCATGTATGCCAAGTAGTAATGTTTTAGTGACCAAGAAGAAATGGCATCTTATCTCTGCTTTTATTCAGTAAGGGACGCATGACTGCCCACCTATAGGTTATTATCATTTCAAACGGGAAAATTTGTGCTTTGTGTGTCATGTTTTGTTTTGTCTTTTCCTGGATTACCCCATATGTAAAAAGATTCTTCATCACTGTTCTAAAAATATCCTGGTTTCATGATGCCATGTAGGTCCTAGTAGGAAAGATGTAATCTATGACATGGAGATACTTTCATCATGGGGAGTTTTTTTCTCAGGTGGCTCTCAACAGTACATACTCGCGAGCAGAAATGGATGACACTTTAATCCAGAAAAGTCTGGCTACTGTACTAAATATAAGAGCCTGAAAACAGGCTCCATGCCTTCTCACAGCCCTGGTACCTCTTAGAGCTGACCCTCTGGGCTTCTTTATGAATACTACTCTTGGTCTTTAGACCAAGACCTCTGAATTTCTGTGAATCCCCAAATCTTGACTCCCCAAACCTCAACATCAAATGCCTTTTCTCTCCTTCACCTGTGATCTCTTTACACTAATTCCCCACTGCTGGTCAACCAATCGCCAATCAGGTTTACATTCAGGCAATAGTAGTTAGTTAGTTAATTAATTAATTAATTAATAACAGCAATCATTTTACAACTGAACAGTGAACATGGTAAATAACCATTTATTTATTAACTAGAGGCCCGGTACATGAAAATTCATGCACTGGAGGGGGGGTACCTTAGCCCGGCCTGCCCCCTCTCACAGTCCGAGAGCCCTCAGGGGTGGGAGGTGACTCGGCAATCAGGAGAAAGTGATGCCCCCATCACACCTCTGCTGCTGCCACTGCTGGCAGTGCAAGCCTTGGTTACCTGCACCTTGGGCCTCTGGGCGACTACTGGGGGGCTGAGGGGACTGGGGGGTCTTCAGAGGAAGGCACAAAAGAGCAGCCAGGCTTGCCTGGGGGTGGGCCCGGCCTTGCTCCACAACTGCTGCCCCAGCGGGGCTGAGGGGGCTGGGCGCTGCCATCTTGTGGCTGTGGGCACCACCATCTTTGAAGGCAGGGCAGTCAATTAGCATATTCCCTCCTTATTGGCTGTGGGCGCCGCCATCTTTGAGGGCAGGGCAGTCAATTAGCATATTCCCTCTTTATTAGATAGCATTCATCAAATGTTTATCCAAAGTGTACCACATCCACGACACTGTGGGGAATAAGCATATGCAGAAGCTGCTGTCTGTGTCATCAGTACATACTGCCTGTTAGACAGCCACCATGAA